AGAAAAGAGGAAATAAAAAAAAGCAAAATAAAAAACTGAACCATAGCTCAACGGAAGAAAGAGAGTGAGAGCAACGAGTCATGTTAGGAAAAAGTTCAAAATAAACCTTGAAGTTGTAGACGAAAGCTAAATCAAACCCTGAACTTTGAATCCTGGAAATTGGCACTCTGAACTTGTAATCCCGGTCTATTTTGGACCCTAGACCTGTTTGGCACGCTGGGAAGACTACAATCCTGGCCGGGATTCCAGCTACTCTCACGAACTAGAATTTGGGCCGGCCCACTATAACACAACAAGAATTCGTGAGGTTTAAAAAATGTTCACACATTTCTAAAATTGTTCAAAAGTTAAAAATGTTTCTATTTTCTATTTTTTGCACAAATTCAATTCGTTTTGTGTTTTTAAAAACTAGTTGGAATTTTGTGTTTCGCACAAAATCAACTCTATTAGCATTTTTAAAAACTGTTCTCGATTTCAAAAAAATCACATTTATCAAAAAATGTTCAGAATTCCAATACTTTTTCACATGCTATGAAAAATATTTCGTATTTTCAAAATTGTGTCACATTTTTAATACTATTTTTGGAATTTCGTAAATTATTTCATAAATAATGTATTTAAAAAATGTTTCGGATTGTTGGCAGTGGACTCGACTGGGCCAGCCCACCAGACATGAAGCGAGTTTTTTTCCTTAACAAGTGACGTAAAAAATTCTTTCTTTCTTTTTCTTAACGGACGACGTAATGATTCCAAAACAAAAGAACATGTTGTGGAGTCGAACTTGGGAACTGGTAGCCACTACACCACACGACTATGACTGACATAGCAGAGGCCCGAAATATTTAATCAGAAACCAAAGCGCCGAACATTGTAAAGATTTTTTAGGGGCAAACAATTATTGAAAACGTATTTATTAATGAAATCTTTGAAAATTTTATAAAGTGCAAGAACTTTTTGAAATTTCGAATACTTCTAAAAAACAAACAACTTTGAAAAAGCGAACACCTTCATAAACATTTTTTGAAACCTGAACAAAATTTAAAGTGCAAACGCTCTTTGAAACATAATATTTTTCTGCAACCTGAACAAAATATTAAAGTGCGGACACGTTTTGATTCATAAACATTTTCTGAAACCTGAAAATATTTTGTGCCATCCAGAAAATATCACAAGTTTTAAAAAATGTATGTGCCAATCCAAATGATTATACATTGTATAATAATATTTGTGTGATTCAAAAAATGTTTTATACATTAAAAAATGTAACATTTCAAGAATGATCACGAGTTCCAAAAAATGTCTCCGTGACTTTTTTAAAAGAATGTGTTTACAATGTAAAAAAATATTTGCGTGATGTAAAAAATGTGTCAAAACCTTAACAGAATATATGTGGCATGTCCTTGAAAAAAGTGTATGCAAATTTAAAAATGCTGAACCACGTAAAAGAGTGTTGTGTAGTTTTATAAAATGTTTATCATCATTAAGAAAATGTAAAACATGTAGTTGAAAAAATATTACCATGTATTCAAAAAGTTTTGGAAACATGTAATTTATAAATGTACATAATATATTTGAAAATATCAAAAGTTTATCCAAAAATATTTAATGTGTGTGTTAAAAATGTACATTGTGTACTGAGAAAAATTAGACCTGTGTAAAAATGAAAAAAGAAATGAAAACACAAAAGGAAAAACTAAGAAGAAACCAGATTAGTGCGCGCGCGCGCGAGCAATTGCGCTACTGGGCCGGCCCAATTCAGCAAATCCCGGCCATGTTCTGTCAAGGTTTAAAATAGACCAGGATTAGAGAGTTTGGTGTGCTGATTTCAGGGATTGAGAGTTCGGGGTTTGATTTAGCTTTCGCCTACAAATTGAAGGTTTGTTTTGGACTTTTTCCGTCATGTTACTCTATACAAAAATTGAACCCGCACCCACCACATAGAGTGAGGAAAGTTGCTGCCCCAGCAAACTGAAAATTGACACAACCCAGACAATGCGAGTCGCGAAACGCCTCCAACGCGCGACGTCACATAACCGGCGAACAATGGATGGAAGCCGTGAAACGGGTCGACAACGTGATGAAGATCAAAACACTGCATGAAAATTTCAGCAACAAAAGATTGTACATTTAAAAATTTAGATGAGATGACACTCGCAACTGTCCCTAGTGCTAATCTCGTCCCGATGAGTCACAACCTATGAAGGATCGTATACTCACACTTTACGCAAACATGGAAGACAATGAAAAAAACGACCACCAATACGACACGAAAAACTGGCCCGATAATGCAAACACCAGCACGACCCAAGGTACATGCATGTGAACAAAACATTTTTGCACGAAACATACATGTTTGATCAAGTGGTGAACAACTTAGTTGTAAAATCATATAGATGTGAATTATCAAATCCAAAAGAAAAAATATATGAAAATAACGATATTTAAAATAAAAGTAAAAAGCAAAAACAAAAAAATACGCGTGGCACTTTTATTTTTTCTTCATTTTTCACCTCTTGGGGTAAGATAACAAATAAGGAAAAAAATAAAATAGAAAAAAATGCAACTACACATACGTGCAAAATCGGCCACATCCTCAAAACGATGTGAAAAGAAAAAAAAATTGACGTTCAATGAAGTCCCATGGGCCGATACATGGAACAAGCTAGTACAGGTGCAGTCCGCGCAAGAACAACAACGAGAAAAAAACGCACTGTACTAAGAGAAGAGAACAAATCTTAAAGGGCTTTCATCCTATGATGATAGAGTTAAATATGAGGTAATTATTTCACATCTAGCAAAAGATAATAACAAGCGACGTAGCCTGCCTCTTCCACTTCTACAACGCAAACCAGACAAAAAGTGGTCACAAGAGCCCAAGCAAAAACAAAAGTCCAGCAAAAAAAACAGACATGCACCACGAACGGGTCAACAAAAAGTGGACAGAATAGAACAAGAGACACATAATTACATTAGCCGATGATGCGAGATCAAGAATTTGCGCGAAAATTACACCAATATGATCCCAACAGAAAACAACTTAGCAAGAGGCCCTTAACAAAAGCGTTGATTATTCTCCAAGTTCTTATTAGTACAACGGTCATGCAACCAATGAACCAACAAAGAAAAAAAAAAAGCCCAAAGAGTCACATCACATGCAGCAGACATGGGCTATCTTCTCAAAAGAAAAACAGCAGACATGGGCTAAGGCCCTCACGCATGACACGAACAGGCAACAGGAACACAACGTGCAATCGACAAACACGACAAGCGCGGATAGCAGGCAACGACAAGAGATCAAGATGTTTACATGATTTTTTCAGCAATTAGATCGTGTGGTGGAAAACTTAGATGTGAGATACTATTTCATATCTAGATGTGAGATACTATTTCACATCTAGATGTGAAATAGCAAACCTGATCCCCAAAAAGGCAATGTGCATATGATCATCGTTAACACAAGTAGGTCAGTACGGCAACCACAAACAGACCATCATTCTCATCTTTAAGACAAAATTGTCAATTTCCTGGTCCACGCTGTTAGCATCTCTCTTAATCTTTGGCATATGAAAAATCAGTAGGAGATGCATGACTGCATACACCTCTTTCTTCAAATTACCCGTCTAGGGAATCATGAGACAAAAACTTATGCACAAACAAACAGTCTTAAGAATAATCGGGTTATGCAAGGTGATAAAATATGGAGTTCCGCTAGGCCTCTTCCCAGGGGCAGACCTACATGGGCTGACCCTGATGCACACAACTCAAATTAGGCTAGCATTATCACTGCATGGAACAGAGTTACCCAAAAAAAACTACATGGTACAGAGCAAAACAAAAGCACAACATCTGGTTTGATGATAACTGAGAGAGGCTCAGATTATGTAATGATCCAGTTCCTGTTTTTCTTTAACCAATAAGTAATAAAACATGTACATTGAAATACAAAAATCATCCAGTTTCTGTGGTGGCTCAAGTGTGGCTGATATTAAGATTTTGATATGACAAACAATGGTGGGACAAAAGCATGGGCAATAAAATAACCCAAATGTTGAGACATACTGTAGTAGTTGAAGGTTCTCTCTTAGTTAAAAAAATTATTACAACATGACAAAGATATGGCTGTATAACTAGGGGAGCATAACCTGAAGTTTATTTTACCCCAACAAAAGCATTTCTGAATAAATATTTGGTACCCTGCAGTCTCAAACGTCAGAGATAAAGTCTGGAAAACCTCAACTTGGTTCTTGAAGGTGTTCACAATGTCCCCATCTCTTCCTTCAGACAACCATGTTAGATGCCACCTCAATCAAATATATATTAGACAAAGAAACTAACTAGGGATGACCAATATTTTCGGGTTGCAACGATGACCATTAACAACAGGTTAATGATGAACTCAGAACGCACAACCTCCATCATGCATGGGATTCTTGAACATCATGCGGACTGAAACAAACAAACACCAGAGATACCAAGAAAACACTACAACGCAGTCTATCACGCATCTAACGACCAGTAAAACAGTAGCTAAGCATAGATTGCACTTGAAAGCAAAATTGAGAGCAAAAAATGATACTGTAGAAAATTTGTAGGCACAGCTGAACCTGAAACCACCAGGGCAAATCAAGGCAGTTCTCAAGGTATCTTAATTTTGCAATGGCCAACAGTCACAACTCATATCCAGGCAACTGTTAAGAACTCACCAGTCCTTTCCATACTCCAGAGTGGCAACAAAGCATTTAGTTTCAAAATCACATGAATGAACTGAGCACATGTTATAATTTCCTTTCTTTTGATAGGCACTTGACCATATTGACTGCATATAGGTGATACGGATTTCCAAGACCATGAAAGCAGATATCCAGACACCAACAAGGGGAGAAGCTAATTTTTTGTCATAAAACATTCGGGTAACACAACATCTAGCATGTCATACTCAGAAGTTCTGCAACTGATATCATAAAACATGCCTGCAACACATGGACCAATAAGTAACATGACTACTTGTTTTTCCCGGTCTTCTTCTTACCCCCAGTAGTCGCTGGTGCGCTGCTGATCTGAGGGCGGGGGTGGCGATCAGCCTCGGCGGCGTCGAGCCACTTGAGCGGGTGCCGGTTGAAGAAGGGCCAGTTGGGGACGGTGACGAGGGCCGTGAGGACAACCCCGCCGGCGTAGACGAGCAGCATGAGCTGGAAGTCGGCCATCGCGTACCCGACCAGGAACGCCGCCACCGCTGACGCCACCAGCAGCACCTGCATCAGCATCTCCGCACTCTTCTGCCCCTGCCAATCCATCTACGCACCAAGAAAAGAGAGGACCGGGTCAGGTAGTTCGATTGGTCCAAGAAAAGGGACGGATCGTGGATGGATCTGGCGCGCTGGGACGTGGTTTCCGTGGATCCATATCGACATAAGAGGAATTCTTGGAAGGATTATAGGGGCGAGAAGAGGAGGACGAGAAGGATGGGTGCGGGGTATTACCTTGCTTGCCGCCTTGCCGGCCGTGCCGCGGCGCTGGAGTCGCCGGAGGGGAAGAGGACCGTGAGAGATGGCGAGAATAGGGAGATCTGTCGTGGGTTCGCAGCGCCGGCCTGCCTATCGGAAATAGGTGCGTCTAGGTGCAGAGGGGATGAATTCGGCTGGGAAAATCCTACTTGCGGCTCGATGCGTCAAATAGTTGTCCAAACGCACAGGCGTGGGGCAGTTGGGCCAGGCCCATTACCGGTTTCGCTGGCGTTTTTCTTTGGGGGCTGCTACAAATCAGCCGGTTGATTTGTTTCAAAATCAAGCCGCCTGGAAAGCCGTTCGATCAACACATGACTGGTCGTTCGATCAATGCAAAACGCAGCGTCTTCCTCCCCTCCCCCTCCCTTGCCGTCACGTCCACCACTCTAGCACAAGCAGCAACACAACTCCGCCATGACCAACGATGGGTGTTATGAACCACGCTACTGCAGCACTGATGTCTTCACTGTGACACGGGCGCCGGCGCTGGCGACCTCATCACAACACCATCGTGGCACGCCGCCGCCACAGTCTGTTGCATCCCTCGCCATGCAGCAGCTTTGATGATGCAAAAAAGCCAAAAGGACGCGACCACCCCCGTCATTGGTGGCTCGCTACATCGACGCTTCATTGCAGTGTCGTTGTCCTCAACTTGTCGCGCCGCCGGCAGCAGCGGCCACTTCATTGCAGCGTCGCCGTCCTTGACTTGTCACCGCCGGCAGCAGCGCTTGTTTCATTGCAGCATCGCCGTTATCGCTGGCAGCAGCGACCAGCCGGCCACTTCATTGCAGCGTCGCCGTCCTTGACTTGTCCCGCCGCGGGCAGAAGTGCCTGTTTCATTGCAGTGTCGCTGTCCTCGCCTTGTCACGCCGCCGGCAGCAATGCCCGCTCATTGCCGCATCGCTGCCAGCAACGCCCACTTAATTGCAGCATAGCACACCGGCGGTGACGCGGCGCCTGCCTCCCTTGAGTGCTGCGTCGCGACAGTATGGCAAGTGGCGCCGCCTCCAGCCTCCTCCATCGTGCTGCACTGAAGCATCGCCGGGATGAAGCATAGAGATGAAGCAGGAAAGTAGTAGCGACCATGGATGGATGAAGCGGGCGGGATGAAGCACACGGTGGTCGGAGCCATGGCGGGATGAAGCGACAGGATGAAGCAAGGAGATGAGGGCATGAGGCCATGGCGAGCTCGCGCCGGCCGCCTATGACAAGGCACGGGAAGGGAGGCTTCGGTGTGCACCATTTTTTCTGTGGAGCTTGCAGCGCAGTGATTGGGAAGGGTAGCAGCGGTTGCTGTAGCACACTGTCCGGTGACGACGAACGATAGGCGAGAGGATTTGCACAGGAAGAAGAAGGCTTGAGGAAACATGTGGATGAGGATCTCGCGTGAAGATAACGTTGTGTGTGGAAGTAGTGGGCGGGCTCCACGGGAGACACGTGTCAAGCGAGCGTGGCGGACGATGGATTGGAAAATCAGCCGGATGAATTAGATCGTTTTCCTTTTCCTTTTCGTTTTTTCCATTCTCTTTTTTTCCGTTCTCTGGGTTTTATTCTTTTTTTACTCTTCCGGTTTTAGTTTTCATTTCCTTTTCTTTTTACTTATTATTTTTCATCTCCTTTTATTGGATTTCATATTCTCTTATCCGATATTCCATTTTTATAAAATATTTAATTTTAGAAAATACACGAACATTTATACATCTGCCAACGGATAACTAGAAAATATCCGCCGCCTCATTGGCCGTTGGATGGCCGCGGGGATACCCATCCGATCAACCCACCCACAAGTGCCACCTCTTTTTTTGCAACAAGAGCGGTGTTGCGGAACAAGCCCTGCAACACGATGCTTGTTGCAAAACGTCGAAACTGCTATTTACCTTTCCTAAACACGGTCTATGTTGCAGTTTTTTTGCAACTGAGCTTTTGTTGCAGTTTTTTTACAATAGAGGTTTGTGGAAGAAAAAGTGTCTTCACTTTTTTGCAACATGGCTTATGTTACCGGAGAAACTTCTGCAACATTGGAGTTGTTGCAGAAAAAATTGAGGAGGGTTACTAGGAGTCAGGGACACATGTCACGTGGGACACGCTACGAGCGAACATGTGTTGTGTTGCAAAAAAAAATCGTCTTCATCTTTTTTGTAACATAAATGATGTTGCGGAAAGATTTTTGCAACATGAGTGATGTTGCGGAAGGATTTTTGCAACATGGGTGATATTGCAGAAACTTTTGTTTTTACATAAATGATGATGTAACACGACCCTTGTTGAAGAAGACAACTCACGGAAGAAAACGTGCATGCTGAGAAAGTGGGAATAAAGAATGCGGTGTGGTGGGCTCTAATGGACCACGTATCGTGCAAGGAAAGCGGTGGAACAAAACAAAAAGATCCGGCGGTGGATTTCAAGCGTTTTCCTTTATACAATAATCTAATGTGATTTTTCTATATGTTTATTGTGATTTTTCATAATTTTTTGTACAATTTAAAAAAGTAAGATATTTTATAAAATCATGTACTTTTTGAAAAACAAAATCGGGCGTATAAAGAAATCATGTAACTAAAAAAATATTGGCAAACTATTAATAATGTGCATGTAATAACAAAATGTCTACAGTTTTATGAAATGGTCGTGTCATTTAAAAATATTGACTATGCACCACCTTTTATTAAATAAACATCCATGTTTATGGAAAACGAAATAAAAAATTGACTGAAAACCCGTAAAACTAGAAGAAAACCAAAACAATGCTACAAGATTGAGTTTTTGAAAAATGTTCTCGTTTATTTCGAAAAATGTTTGTGTTTTTGAAAATTAATCAAAATGTTTGCATTTTACGAAAATTTGGGTGTTTCAAAAATAATTTCTTTCATAAAATGTTCTCATTTTCAAAAAAGTTTGTGTTTCCAAAAAGTGTTCCTGTTCGCAAATTTGTTCCACAGTTTCAGAAAACATTCGCTTTCTGGAAAACTTTTGTGTTTCCAAAAACTGTTCCTGTTTTCAAAAGTTGTTCCGCAAATTTTAAAAAAATGTTCATGTTTCTGAAAATTGTTCACGTTTCCAAATTTGTTCCATAGTTTAAATTTTTTTGTATTTCCAAAACTGTTCATATTTTAAAAAAATGCAAATTAAAAAAATGATCCTAGTTTCAATTTTTTGTGGGAGTTTTAAAAAGTATTCACGTTTTTAATTTTTCTGAAGAGTTTCCAAATATTTTCCCCATTTAAAAACTGTTCATATGTTCAAAGAAATGTTGGTGATTTCCAAAAAATGTTCGCGTTTTTAGAAGATGTTTGTATTTTTTTCAAAAGAAAGTGAAAAGTGTTCTCATTTCTAAAACATTCTATTTTGGAAAAAAGGAAATCAAATTTCTAGAAACATGAACAATGTTTGAAAAATACGAATAATTTCACAAAACACAAACATGTTTCTTCTAATTTCTGAACAAATTTCAGTATCAAGAACATTATTTGGAATTTCAAGCACAAAAAAACACAAAGAAGGAAAATCGAAAACAAAGAAACTAAAATTATGGATCTGCGTTGTTTTTGGTTCTTATAAACTTGCACGGTGTTGTAATTATTCGTGTTAATTATCTCTACACGCTAGCACAACAAGCTCTAATGCTAGAGGTCTTGGGTTCGATCCCTGGTAACGCGTGATATTTTTGCGAATTTATGCTACAGTACTCAATCGCTTCTCTGTATAGATCTGCTCATGCGCCATCGGGCTGGCCCAGTCTGTCGCTTGTGCATTTGCCCGATAGTCTGCCGCAACACGCAGCGACTATTTATCGCAACCCTGGTCTCCAGGGTGATCACTGGCGCGACTAAGCACTCCGGCCGCGAGTCTCTATTCCTAATAAAGTAGTTGGTGAATTATCTTCACGGTTTATTTTCGCTGATTTTTTTTCATCTCTCTTCCCACTTTCGTCTGGTTTTTTCGTCCCTCTTCCCACCTTCGTCTGTTTTTTTTCGCTGGTTTTTTTCGTCTCCGCTGCCCCCCGTATCAACGCACCCAAAAAAAAAACCACCAGAGGAAAACCCGCTCCTCTCGATTCCTATCCCCACGACGTACGACATCCTTCGCCGCCGCCCCATCTCCGATCTCCCTTCGCTGCCGCCCTCGCACTCGCATCAAGTCGTCGCCGATCCCTGCGCTACCTCGACGGGAGCCATCACAAATCCATCCCTTCGCCGCCGCCTTGCGCCACCACTCCTATGACGCCGTCTCCCGCCAGTCTCCACCAGCACCGTGACGTGCGTGGCCTCCACACGCGCCGTCACCGCCCCTCGAGATATTGAGCAAGTTTTTTAGTCTTTGATAGAAACTGAACAAGTTTCTCATGATTTTTTTATATACTTCAAGCCTACTGCTCATCCAGCTCTATGTGCAGTTTGGAGATATGCTTTATTGATCATGCAACCTCCTTCTTTTCTCATCCCTTTTATATTTTTATTTCAAATACTCTGTGTTAGCAAAATCCTGTTGCATGACTAGACCAACTATCTGGTGATTCAAGCACTAGATTAGTGATTGGGGCAATGGTCAGACCTGCTTGCATGAAAAAAGGGCAATTTTGATGTGCTTGCAGGAGCTCAGAACTCACCTATTGATGACTCACCTTGGAAACTGTTTTTCTAAAGGTTGGTGACTATGACTGGACACTTGATTCTGCACTTGGTCGTGATAGATTTTTTTACATGTCACACTATACTTGTAGTAAAATTAGATTTGAAATGAAGACTGCAACTTAAACCTATATATATATATATATATATATCAACTACATA